CAGAGCTCCCTGCAGGAGGAGGGGAAGGGGAGAAGGTGAGGTGACTTCCCTGAGCAGCCTTGCCTGGGAGTGCTGGGAGCTCCACACGGCTGGCAGCGGGGCCCAGTCATCAGGGCAGAAGGTAGAGAAGCAGGTCAGCAGAAAAATAACAGTTGATTTTTACTGGCCGTGGTTGCAAAACCGAGGCTGAGCCGCAACCCCTAACCCCCAACCCAGAGGGCCCCTTCCCCATACCCTCCAAGACCAATCACCACGGAGCCCCAGGGGAATCTGAACAAACACTACTGAAACTGTTGCTAACACCGACAGGGACTAAAACTGAGGGTATGAAACTGAGAGTATGAGAGCATGATTAAATATCTATCAGAAAATAAAAAGGCATTTTTAAGGCTTTATATAAAGCAGTGATCCAAGAGGCTTAAATGCCACCTACTGGAAACCAAAAGAAAAGCACTTTCTTTGAAATAGGCTAAAGAGAGAACTTTATATAATAAATCTTTCTGGAAAAAAAGCAGAATACATTTCCATTAACGCCCAGGCAGAGAAATATTCCACTAAACACAACGAACAGCCAAGGTGACAAGGCATCTCAGAAAGAAAGAGAAAAATCTCTAGAAAATAAGTTTGCATACACGGAAATATGCAATTTCAATGACAGAGAATTCAAATTGGTACTTCTGAAAAAACTTGGTGAATTCTGAGATGAGTCATATCAACAATTTCAGGAATTGAAAAACCAACTAGATGAGCAGAATAAGGAGGCTGCAACCCTCGATCAGTGATATCAAAGACAGAAATCTAGAAATAAATCAGAAGGAAGAAGAGAGAAACCAAAGAATAAAAAATAATGAAAGAGAAATACAAGAACTAGCTGATACCATCAGGAGAGGAAACATAAGATTAATGGGAATTCTCGAAGGGGAGGAAAAGGAGCAGTGATTAGAAAGAATTTTCGGACAAATAGTTGATGAGAATTTCTCAAATCTAAGGAATGAGCTGGAGCTTGGAATTGAAGAAGTCAACAGAACACCCAATTATCTCAACCCAAAAAGACCTTCACCAAGACACATTGTATTAAAATTATCAAAAATCAATGACAAAGACAGAAGTCTCAGGATAGCCATGGAGAAGAAAATGGTAACTTATAAAGGAAAACCCATTAGATTATCATCGGACTTCTCAGCACAAACTTTACATGCCAGAAAGGAATGGAATCAAATATTTACACGATTAAGTGAAAGGAACTACCAGCCTAGAATAATGTATCCAGCTAAGCTTTCCTTTAGATATGAAGGAGAAATTAAGAACTTTCCAGACATATAAAAATTGAGGGAATTCTCCACTATGAGGCCTGCATTACAGGAAATACTGAAAGGGGCCAGCTCACCTAAAAGAAAATGACCCCCCAAAAATACATAATTAGGAGAAAGGTGACTAGCAGGATCATAAAAGCAGAGGAGTGCAACCCTTACTACAAACAGGGTATTATGTGCTTAAAATAAGAAGAGATTTGCTATAGCAAAATAGCAATGAATGTTCAGCACACATAAGGACAAATTGAGGCAACAATGACTGAAAGGAGGAGGATTCAAATGTCCAAATTCACAAAGGGGAATGGAGATAAAGTATGAGCAGAAGAAAAGGGACGATTGTATATATATAACTATCCTTTACATATTCATAATGGTAACTACACGCCAAAGATTCAGAACCAAAGTATATAACCTAAAACAAGAAGACCCAGAGGCAAAACCCACAAAAGCCAACGAAAATAAAGAAAACAGAAACACAAGGATAAGGACGCAATGGAAACGCCAAGTTACCGGAAAGCAAAAGATAAATGGCTATAAGAAGACCTCATATTTCAATAATCACTCTAAATGTAAATGGACTAAACTCACCAATAAAAAGGCACAGAGTTGCAGAATGAATCAAAAACCAAAACCCAATCACATGCTGCCTCCAGGAGACACATTTCAGCTCCAAATACAAATATAGACTCAAATTGAAAGGGAAGAAAATGATATTTCGAGCAAATGGCATTCTGAGAAAAACAGGAGTAGTGGTACAAATAGACTTCAAAATAAAAAGGTAAAGAAAGATACTGAGGGACACTTCGTAATGATAAACGGAATCATGCACCAGGAAGACATAACACTTATTAATATCTATGCTCCCATTCAGGGAGCCCTAAAATATGTAAAGCAATTACTAACAGAACTAAAGGGAGAAACAGACTAAAACACTATTGTAGTAGGGGACCTAAATACCCCACTATCGGATATGGACAGATCATCCAAACAGAAAATCAATAAGGAAATAACATCCTTAAATGACACATTACACTACCAGAACTATTATATGAATTTAAAAGGTGACAGTATCCAAGATTAATATTAAGAATTTGTGTCTTCAAATTTTTATTTATAATAGATTGAAAAACAAAATTAGAGACAAATTTGTCAAAAGTTGTATATGACCTCTACATTAAAAATAATAAAACATTTCTGGGGAAAATTAAAGGCCTAAATAAATGGAGAGAAATACCCTATTCCTGGACTGGAAGCAATGGCATGTTCATAAACATTTAACAGCTGATTCCCCACAGAAGAGGTGTCTGTGGAGTTCATCAATTTCTGGGGCATAAATTCTCCCATCTTCACTAATTTCAAGCTTTCAAATTTCTGAAATTTTAATAATGGTCCCTTGTGATATAGTATGAGCTATCTTCAATGACTGAAAGACTTAATATTGTTAAATTGCAATTCTCCTTGAATCGGTCAATCCCAATCACAATTTGACTAAGCACTTTTGTAGAAACTAACAATTATAAAAGGAAAGCACGAAGACCATCTAAAACAATCTTGATAAAAAACAAAGTTGGAAGATTTAAACTATCAGACTTAAACATTACTTTAAAGGTAATTCAGACAATGTAATAGACACTGTCATAAGGATAATCAATCGAACAGAAAAGAGAGCTCCAAAATAGAACAAGTCTATATAGAGTCATTTGACTTGCAAAAGTCTTTTCAACAAACAGGGCTAGAATAACTGTCTATCCATATGGTCTAAATATAATCTTTGGCCTCATACCTCACACTATATAAAAATAATTAAGATGGACTGTATACCAAAAATATAAAGCTATAAAACTTCTAGAAGGAAATCCAGGATCAATTATCCGCTATTCGAGGGCAGGACACAGAATGCAATAAACAGAAAAAGAAAAAAAATGATAAACTAGATTTTATCAAATTTAAAAATTTTTGCTTAACATATGATATAATTATGGAATGAATAAAAAAGCTACACACTAGGTGATAACATCCATAACTTACATATCTGATACATGCCTGGAATCCTACATAAAGAATAATGACCCCATAGATAAACAATCAATTAGTTACAGGCAAACAGTTTGAATTCATAAATACATAAAAAAGTGCTTAACATCATTAGTCATCATAAAATGTAAACTAAAACCACTATGAGACCACCAGATGGCAGAAAATGAAAAGACTGAAAGACCAAATGTTGGCAAAGATGTGGTATAACCAGAACTCTCATCTATTATTGATGGGAATATAAAATGGTACAGTGACTTTGGAAAAATATCTGGCTATTTCTTATAAAACTAAGCATACACTTATTCTATGACCCACAAGTTTTACTCTTCGGTATGCATCAAAAAAGCAAAAACAATATATGTATACAAAACAGCTGGTAGGAGACTATTTATAGCCATCTTCTTGACCATAGCCAAAACCTGGAAATAGTTTCCATGTCCATCAAAATGAGAATGGATAAACGAATTGTGACTATTAGTTAGTAATAAAAAAGAACAAACTTCTAATACCTGTAACAACATGGATGAACCTCGAAACATGCTGAGTGACCTTATTAAAGAGATTATATACTGAATGATTTTATTTGTAGAAAGTCCTAGAAAAAACAAAGCTAATCTATAGGGCAAAAATAAAAACTGATTATTTCTGGAAGGATGGGAGACAGGAGTGACTGTGAAGGGTAAAAGGTAACTCTTAGGAATGCTGGTATTCTTGAAGACTTGTGCATTTTAATGTATGTAAATTTAACCACAAAAGAAAAACTGAGAACCATAAACAAATTTTGAGTTTTAGTTAATGAAATGCAGACAGAAGTATGTAGGGGTGAAATGTGCTAGTTATTATAATTTACTCTGAAGTGCATCATAAAAATAAGATGGACTGAAGGATAAATAGAAGGAATAGATGAACAGGTATATGATAAAAACAACTTCCTCACTCTGAGTAAGTTTAGAAACAAGAAATCAAGTTAACTTCTTTATCCCAAAAAGTTACCAATAAAAAAACAACTTTAGACATTTTGGCTACCCAGAAGAGAATCTGTACCATTGCTAATACTTTGCATTGTCTAGATTAATACCATAAGTAAGATAGAACAATTTATATCGAAGTTAAAGAAATGACGATCAACCATCAAAGGAAGACCCAGGATACTGTTAGCCCTAATTTTCTTTGTCGGGCTGGAAATCTTCCTGCGTGCTTTTTAGTCCTTTCTTAAAATACTTTTAACTGACACGTTAGTTTACCTCCCTACTGCTTGACATCTGTTGCCAGAGTCTAAAAATGTTTGACAAATGATTCAAAAACAGAAACAGAATGAAATCATTCTAACTGACACTGAAACCTAAAATCACATTTCTGCCAAGAACCTAATCTTCAAGGAGAATCAGTAACAGTGGTGGAGATCTGGACAATCCTTGGTGACCTCTCCTGAGAAGCAAAGGGCTAAGAATTAAAATGCCCTCGTAGTCTAGGAAAAGGCTGATTGTTCTCTAGCACAAGAACCAGTTTTAAATCATTTTATTAATCGACAGAAATTCACATCAGGAAACATGCTGCTGAAAGCCAACCAATCAGTAACAGTAAAAAGTCCACTAATCAGGAGATCCATCATTGGAAAAGACAGAGAGTCATGACAACCACAAAACTTACCCGCGTAAGACTCGAACTTCAGCAGAGCACTGTTGTACCCCAGAGTAATCAAGATGGACTCCTTCCCCACACGGCAACATTCAGTGTCTCTGTTGAGTAAGCATTTAAAGATACAGACGCCATCAGCTATAAAGGGTGAAAAAAAAAAAGGATTAGAAAAATCCATTCTGAGCATTGTAAAAAGAACCATTCCTACGTTTTTTTCATGTTCTCTAGGCTACCCATTTCTTTTTTCTTAATACAATGCCTCCTGGGACATATGAGAATATGAGGTTCAAAGATAAAAAAGAGATGAATCTATGTCCAAATATCAGTTCTTTGCAGGTAGGTTAACAGGCTCAAAACTGGCACTTATTGGCTCTTGCCTTTAAGTCTAGGGACCACAACACTTATAGTCCCCAAATCATTTTGTAATTCTTGATGCCATCCTAGGAGAGTCCAGGTAATGTCCCTATGGGTGATTCTTGAGTACCTACTATGTGACAGAGATATCATAAAAATCTCCATTGTAAGTATTATCACTGCCAATGTTTCTAGATGAAGACAAGGCAGAGTGTCTAGGTCCAAATATGTCCAAATATGCAGAACTGGAATTCAAACCCAGAACTGAATTTGACTTCAAAGCTCATGTTGCTCCTACCACACTGTGCGGACAAGCGTGTTAAAAAGGGAGCCGTTTCTATAAGCAGGGCCCATGGTAAGTGGCTAGGGTCTCATTAGATTCATCCACACATAGCTGGGTACTAATTCACTGATCCTCCTTTTACAGGTTATAGACAGGCCTTTACCACTGGGGCACCTGAAGTGTGGTAGAGAAAGCAATGAACTTAGGTTTTGCTTTCATCTTTGATACTAACAGAGGAACTTCAATTACCTATTCAACACAGAGTCACATGTTTTCACTGTGTAAAATGAAAATATTGATGTTTATTGCACAGGCTTTTTTTAAGACTGAATAAAGTTTAAATGACTTCTAAAATCCTGTAAAAACAATAAGAGGCTATTATTTTTTCTCTCATTATAAAGTAGATCTTAGGACCTATCTTTAATGTCCTCCAGTCTCTCTTACAAAATCAAATACGGTAAGTGTATTAAATTGAAACTAAAAACATAATTGTATATAAAATTACACTTATACATGGGCATATGCACATTCATGCACACGCATTCAAAACACACACACAAAGAGATAAGATGATCAAATATTTTCAACCTTTACTTCAAATGAACGAGTAGAGTATCTTCTGATAGAAGCATTCACAGATATTTTCCACAAAATGTTTTGGCTAGTTAAACAGTGCAGATGTTTTGAAAACATTTTCCTGGCATCAAACGTGATTACAGGTTTAGTTATTACAGCCCAGTCAGTGTCTCAGAGGCATCAATGTCTCCTTGCAGGGAGGCAGCCATGAATTTAGATGCAAAAGGAGGAAGTTTGGGGCTCTTTTAAACAATATGTTTTCTTAAAATCATAAGAAATTTTTTTTCAAGAAATCAGGATTTTTAGCTTTTACCAATTGTTTCTTTTATAGTTTTGAAGCAAAATAAGATAGAATGAAGAAGGAATAAGGATCCTAGTCTTCTTCGGTTCCTTATGCATACATAACTATTATATCCTGTGAGCTCTCTGTGACCAGGGACAATTTTACTTTATTTTGGGGATCATTATCTTTTTTTCTCTAAATTAAAACTTAACACAGTATCTGATACTTAATATTTTTTGAATCAGTGAAGGCATTTATTTGTGTACTAACTGCATACCATCCCAGAATAGATAAAAAAAACTTCAAAATTTACGATTCAATTCTCCTTAACCTGATAAACTCAGATATTTGTGCGCGCGCGTGCGTGTGTGTGTGTGTGTGTGTGTGTGTGTGATTTAATTAGGGTATAAACTGCAAAATGCCTACCCAGGTATACAACCTTTTTTCTTCATCACCCTGCCATCCTCTGTTTAAACATGAGTGAGGAAAGTCTTTTTAAGCATGTCATAAAATCCAGACAGTACGGTATCTACTTCAAAGTTTAAAATCTACCTACGGCAAAAAAATTTTTAAACACTTTTAACAAAATTGAAAAGCAATGATAAGCTAGGAAAATGTTTTTAACATACATAACAAGGACAATATCCCCAATATACGATTAGCTCTAAAAAATAAAAAGAAACAAGCATCCTTATTAAAAAGTTAGTAAGACAGCATCATTAAATATGGTCCATGGAGAGACAATCATGAAAATTTTATCTGGACTTATTCAAAGTATCACATTATATCTTAAAAAAGAGAGAGAGAGAGAGAGAGAGATCAGTAAGCCATTGGTGACTTGAAAAATGTCAATAGCAAAAGAAATGTGAAAAAACAATGAATCTCAGTAATATAAAAAAATATAATAAAAATGAGATCTAAATTTTTCTCTCATCAAAAATTTTTAAATATATGTTGCCAATATCAACTATTGGAACAGATGTGAATAAACAGTGAGCGGCTATCATTGGGAATGTAAATTTGTATATTCCTGGAACGTATTCTGTTCATATGGTTTAAAATGTAAAGTCTATGTACTCTTTGCTAGACATTCTACTCATAATAATTTCTTTCAGGATGTGTTTTATCAAGTGTGAATGGATGTATATTCACGGATATGCATCTTAGAGGTGTTTACTAGAGGCAAAAAAATGTAAAGCTAAGAGTCTATCACTTATATATACGGTTGGTTAAATCAAATACCATACCTCCATGTTCAAGTAGCAGAACAGCACGTATATTATTGTAGCTATTTGATATTATGCTTATCTTTGTAGAAAGCTGTTTAAAAAGATATACACCAAAATGTTCTCAGTGGTTTCCTCTGGATAGAGAGATTTGGGGTCATTTTTACTTTTTCCTTTATAAAGTTCTGCCTTGTTTGAATTTCCTGTGTGACTACTTATTCTTATAATGAGGAAAAACAAAAAAGCTATTCATTTGGTTAAAAAGCAATCAAACAAAAAGCATACTACCATCACTTACATATTTTGCCACATTCTCATTCTTGGTGGGTTTTACTATTCTTTAAGTTTTTTCATTTATTAGATATTAATTGGTTTTTCATTCATTCAAAAATATTCATTTAGGAATTGCTGCTTTCAATATGATCATTATATTAATTCTCAAATTTTAAACCATTCATGGAAATGAATGTTTTCTTATGTCTTTTGTTTGCTAATGTAATAACTTCTTGTGATTACCTGTCCTGTCCTTGGACTATGTTAGTACATAAAACACTTTAAATGATTTCTGTTAATGAATATGAGCAAGATAAAAGTGCCGCTATTTTAGGGGAGAGTGTATTGTCAACCTAGAAATGTGTCTTTTTAAATTTAAAGAACTTATATTAGAAAAATGAAGAAATATGATTTTAAAAAATTGCTAAGGAACACATATAAATCCAAGACCAGGAAATGCTAGTACATTGATGAAAAGTAGGGGTGGTGTAGAGATCATTTCCAATGTACACTGTACTAAGGTGCAGGGCATTTGTCTATCTATTATTACTAGTAATAATAACTTGATAGAAAGTTTTATTTATTCTAATTATTATAGAAATAATAACTTGATACAGTTCCAGAACATTCTGACTCCCCTGCCAAACATTTCATCTCTTCAGTGGCACAGAAGGTTGGCTGCTTCTGTGTATTTACTATCACTGTGCTTTTGAACTTGGCTCTCATCAGTGACACTCCTTGCTACTTCTTCAAAGAGCAAGGCCAGATCTGCTGAGGGCCGCAGGGAAATAAGCAGAATAAGTTCATGTGCACAAAGTTTAGTCAGCTTTAGGAAAGCCCAGAGCCTTGTTATTCCCTCCTTGAGGGAAAGCCACTCGTTCTCCCGGAGGACTCTCAAGGAAAATCATAATGATGTCAAATCCAGATACCTTGCTCTATTCACTAACTCAGCCTCATCTGACAAAACTTCCAAAAGCACAAAGAAAATCCAGAATCTACCCATTTTACAAGTGCAGACAAGAAAACATGGAAAATGCCACGAGGAGGGGTCAAGAGAATTGTCCTCATCTTTATTAACAAATAATTCTCTTCTTCTCCACATACATATTCCTCTCCTTTCAGCCTATGCAAATAAAGAAATTCAATCTCCACAGGAAAGCTACACTAATTGACCAAGAATGTTATATATCAGGCCTGGTCTAGAACAAATTCCTGGACAAAAGAGCACTCATGACCTAATAATATGGCATTTATGCCAAGTCTTTGCTAAGTGACTCATTTAATATTTTCCTATCTAGAAATAGAAAATTAGTCTACTTAAGAAATGTTTCCTCACCTACTGTCTGAGAACATATCAAGTCCCCTCTCACAGCTTGTCATAACTTTTCTTTCACAGCATGAATCACAGTCTGTGATGATTTATTTATAGGATTATTTGATTTAATATTTTCCTTTAACACTTGTCTCTAAGTCCCTTGGGTTAAGGAGCTACTTCGTCTTATTAACAGCATCTTTCAAGCACATTGTCTGGTTTATAGTAGATGCTCAATAAACTTTTGGAGAATGAAAAAAAAATGAAATGTGTTTCCTAGGAAAAAATAACTAAAATGATTGTTTAGGCAGCACATATATAGATGGAATGAAGTATACAGACAACTGTGCAGTTATTATTTTTGACACAGTTAACCACAGAAAATGAGTGTGAAGAAAAAAGGACAAGATTATGGAACTCTAAGATATGTAATATTAAAATTAGGCATCAATACTGATCATAATAACATAATTTCCTATGAGATATAAAATAGTAATATATGATACATTCAGAGCTTCTTCCTCTCTTCTACTTGGTGAGAATTTTCTATTTGAAAGATTAGATTCTAGGCTTTTGCTTGCTGGAGTAATGGTAGTGAAGAAAAACTGAAAATGGATTGATTCAGTTTGAAAGGGACCGATTTAATAGCACAAGAGAAATGAAGAAACTGGGAAGATAAGCAGGAAAAGGACAAAAGGGAATTAGAGGAAGTTTTAGTGTTGAGAATTGTGGTAGAAGCCATCTTGTGAGAGAAAGATGGAAACGGGGCTTTTAAGATATTAGTCTTAGAATAACAGTTGTCTGCTTATTTTATCGTTTTGATTTGGTTTG